CCCCAAAACCCCAAAACCCCAAAACCCCAAAACCCCTAAAGCCTGTATTTAAATTGGGAATTTATAATTATAAATTTAAAATGTCTAGGAAATACAAGAGCCTGAAGAGGATTTGTAGTAAACAGAGCAGTGATTTGATAAAACTGCGTAATAAAGTGCCCAAGAATAGCTTCTTTAAGAATATGTACAGGGCTATTACGCATAATGAGTTTTATCTTAATAAACATACTTCAAGTAAAAACTTAAGAATCTTGCTTAGCTTATTCGCGTCCTATAGTATCGTTTCGATCTTCAAGCTAAATAAAATCTTCTTACTATCATATTTATTATAATATAGATCAAATACCTTATTCTCACAATGACAGCTTGGACAGTATCTCCCACACCAGCGTTAGCACTCGCAAGAAGAAAAATATCAGTAACTTCCTACAAACAGTATAGGGCCAAATTCAGCACTAAATGTCAACTCTAAGAAGAACTATCAGATTTTGTACGGCAACCAATATCCTTTCAAGGTCAGCCAGGAATTTCAGAACATGTCAACTTCTGTAAATGAATCTATCAAGCCTGCAAAGCCTCCTTCAGAGGGGTTGCAGACTCTAATGGGACTCATGAAAGAGAAGTCATCCATTAAGAGTGAGCTGAAGAAAGCCAGGCTTGAGGTGGCAAGCTTGATCGCACATATTAAGCACAGACTTGATAATTACGAGTCCAGACATGACTCTAGTATATCGTAAGGGATTTTAGATTATTAGTAGGACAACATTCTTCTCCTCAGATTCAAAGTGAGTAAACTGCACAATGCTCTTCACAAGCCCACCCTCAAGAGGTATATTTAGGGTAATCTTCTAGAGCCAGAAGAGCTTAAGTTGCTTAAACCACTAAAGAGCAGTAACACTTCAGATATGAAGGAACTAAAAATTGTGAAGAAAGAAATCAAGAAAATTAAAAATAAGATATCTAAAGTAAACAATAAGATCGATGGTAAAACTTTTGTCTGAATTTATAGCTCATTTGGCAGGTAATAGAGTTGTCCCAAGTTATTTGTAGAATCTATAAACTTCTTTACCTCATCAGAATCTGATAATTATAACTTTTCAGGTTTATTTGAAACTTTCTAAGTCTCCTAATGCCTTCCTTACATTGTCAAGTCTAGAATTGTAATTTAAATTAAGACAACTCAGAATCGATTTTTCCTTTATATTTTTCAAATTTACACTACAAATTGCTAATTTCTTCATAATTTTTCATAAAAATCGCTTACCAATCCACAGAAAAACCACTCAAGCAGCTTAAGCTAGAAGACAACCTGAACAAGTAAGTTAAAACTTGTGTTAATTTTTAATGCATGATTATTGGCCGATAAAGAGAGTTCTGAGGATAGAGTAAAGTCTGATCCTGTCAATTAGTAGTACAAAATAAATTTAAGGATCATAATCTCACAACATAAAAATATGCTCTCAACAAAATAAAACCCTTCCTTCACTTACTCCCAACCCCAAATCCCTTCCTTTCCAACGTTTCTCTAAATCTTCCGGCCCAAAATACCACCCATTTCCCCAAAATTTATACCCCAAAACCCCAAAAATTTCCAAATTTTCCCTAAAATCTCCAAAAATATTAAAAATTCAGTTCAAATTTTCTTAAAATTCCTAAATCCTCTAAAATACTGACTATCATACGATTTCCTCAACTGGGTTTCTAGGGATACCCAAAATTCTATTCTTCGCCTCAGAATGGTCTTATCGAAAGTCAGAGTCAGGATTTCAGAAGAGAAGCAGAAGGCACTGGATGCGAAGAAGAGACAGCCAGGATTTGTGTTTGAAGGGGACGATCATGTTGTAGCAAGGGAGCAGAGGGTGGAGATATTGGGAGGTAGGTATTGGAGGTTGAAATAGCTCTATAGCAAAGACAGTACGGTTAGGGGGTTATCTGTAGGTGTGAATTAGAGAAAAGTCTAAAAGAAAGAAGAAAGAAAGAGTATTCTCACTTGATCGAAAGTATTGTACGAATAAACTTAATAGGGATAAAAATGAAAATTTCATGTTTGAGCCGAATGAGAACTTAATTTTTGAGGTAAAAGATATGCAAAGGTTACGCTATCTGAGCGATAAAGTGCAGCAAAGAACCAAAGTTGCTTTAGGAAGTTATATATGCTCTAAACTAATCACAAACTTCAAGTAGGTTTTCATTGACCACTTTAGTGATTTCAAGAAAAAGAAAATTCATGAGTATAACCTGAAGTTCAGTGAGAGGAAGGATCAGCATGTTCAGGCTTGTCCTGAACTCAAGCAATTGAGAGACCAGAACAAGTTGTTAAAGATAGAACTCTACAGAAGAAAAACTGTCAACAGAAAGAGGCTAAGGTCTGCTTATAAATAAAGAAAAATAGATTTCAACAGGGAAAATTAAATTTGGGGTTTTGGGGTTTTGGGGTTTTGGGGTTTTGGGG